ATCAATCTGAATATTATGATAGCCATAACATCTCCTATTTTGTGTCGGGTAACCTATCTCTCCACAAGCCCACTTTATCCAGTGTACACACAGACACATGCACACGTCTGTCCGTTCTTCCATCTATCCGTTCATCACTTGGTCAGTTTAACAAGAATACTTGTAAACCACATCTGTAACTTTATAAATAGGTTAGTAAAATCATATAAAATCCTGTTCTAACATGCAGTTAAGTAATTTAACAGTACAAGTAAAGAATGTATTCGAATTAGATTACCTTAAAACAATGGACCTTTCTCCAAATGTATGCAAGCAGGTCCTTTCCATTGTCAGGATGTGCAGCCAGACTATCCTCCGTGTGAGGGCGCGGGTGGGCAAAACACTGCCAGATTGTCAATACGACGGTTGAGCTGACAACAGTACCTGAGGCAGATTGGCGATAGAGGGTGTCATAGTTATTGTGTACGTACTCACGCGGAAGACAGTGCTCGACGACTTGTACAGCGTTGGGATTTCCCCGGTTTATATCAATAGCATGCATGGGCGGTATACTGTTGACTCTACTGTTAAGAGCCTGAGCATTAGAAAACGTCTGACTTGAGTAATGTGCGCCTATGACAACTTCTAACAGGTAATCAAGGGGTCAAGTTATATTGCATCTGTCATTATGGAAAGAACAGCTGTTCACCACGCAATACCCCTCATTAAGGCCGAGAGACGCATATATGGGGCAAATTAATCAGCTCCTCACAGCGAGTGACGTGTTTATGGGGCAGGTAATTAGCAGTTTCTCACAGCGAGAGCCACATACAGTCGTCAACAGAAAGCATCTCTTATTCAGCGAGAGACGCAAATGTGTGTTGTACTTTTAAAAATCGCACTGTACCTATTATTTCAACCAATTTAGCAGTACTGAGCAAATGTTAGCTTTTCTTATGAGAGATTCCACCTTTAGTGTCAATCAGAAGAAGTATTTAAAGAGTTTTGATAACAATTGCTAATCATTATCATAGGCTTGTACAGCGTTTAGCAAATGAACGCATGTCGGCGAGAAAGGGGGATTATGATGTTTTTACAGAGGTAAGTGCCTGGTACTCTTCCTTGGGAATGGATACTAAAATACTTCGTATGCACCTTGATTGAATTAGATGTAATGGTTTAGAGGTTACTAAAAATTATATTTCCTTCAACTACCTAATTAATAGGAAACAATATACGAAATTTCAAGGACATACAAAGAATTCAAACACAATAGAATAGTTTTAATTTCCTTTTTAGGCATCATTACTTTGTCATGTTTCATATACTGAAACATAATGTATAAACACAAGTAATTATACATCCAAGCTCGAATAGATTAAACATAATTGAACTTACTAATTTGAAGTTTACTGAATTGTAACTAGTTGTTTTCCATAAACTAAAGTTCGTAATGTTACCTAAGCGAATATAAAGTGATAAGTCGCGCCTTTGCATCGAATACATATATACATGTCAGTGTTATTACAACAATGAAATGTTTTACTACGTTTGTTACAAAAGACAGTAAGTTGGTAATTCAAAACATTGTCACACATGGACAGAAGTAATATCATAAGTTATTACATGTAAGCCATACAAAGGTATTTCAAGCATTTTTGTTCAAGCTGTTGAAAGTTTCATGTTGATTTGAACTGTCAGTTTTCTATGCAATTTACATGAGCATTCTGTAAAACGTTTGTATTTGATCTGTGTAATTATTTAAATTCCGGTGCAATTATCACGTGTATCAATCAACTCAGTCTCTATTGATCCATCGTCAATAAAAGCTGGATAGTATATCAGTTACGGTATCGATACACATGCGTATAATCATTCAAGCAGATTACAGTAATGAGATAATTGAACGCCTCTTTCGACCTTGAAATAACAGCCTCCGGTAGAATGCATATGTAGTTACGTCCTTGTTGAAAGGTATGTCCCGTGACAAGTGTAAAATAAACAGATGCGCTGTTATATCATTGGACATCTTGCTTTATGGAGTCACGCCCCTCTCTGTGATGTTTATACATGCATGCACATCTGTAATCTTATGAACCTCGTTTGCATTCAGTAAAGATATAGGCACGCCCACCTTCATAAATATTGGGGTGGGGTGTCAACTGCAAGTTTATACACTATAATAATTCAGTATAGTGTCACCTCGTGAATTCTGTAATGCGTGTACTCTAGTTTGGATAGTCATTCGTATCAAGGTGAAGATTATATTTACATGTACAGCAAACCATTATGTTTATGTACTAGTTGTGTGCATAAAATGTATATGAAAATAAATACTACCTCTACTCAGTGGTTGGATTTCAATCGCTTTGTTTTACTTATCGAAAAGCACTAAAATGAGGACAAATAAACCCGCCAAAGTGACTATCTACTCCTATTTGTCTTATGTGTATATTTCATACATCGTTACCAGTGTGTATGTTTACAATACACAAACTGTTACATGATAGCTTGAGTTGATAAAGCCGAAACCCAGCATATCGACTGGTCAAGGATATAGCCAATAACCAATCTCTATCCAAGCTGCTGAGTGACCAAACGTGCTCTTCCCTGATGTATCATGAGCTGTGGACAGCAGGTACATAGTTTCTGCCCAAAACAAATATTGTCTGTACACCAGCGAGAACATTACCTATAAATGTGAAGGCTGCACTGGTTACCTGTCTTTAAGTGTAGTAGGAGCACTTGCATGCGCCATTCGCTGTCAGTTTAAGGTTGGACCGTCCAGATGGACGCACATGGAGGGGGAACGAAAGGAAAGATACCCGGAAGAGGATTGCCCACAGAACGCTACCTTTACCTCTAATATGGCACTGTAGGATGCAGGGGTTGTACCCCATAACCCCTACATGCCATTAACCCCTACACCCCAGTACCCCTACAATTAGTTAAAACAACAGACGGCATTTACCTGGCTGACATAATGGACTGACCCAAGGAGAGATTAGTGCACAGAGTATACAGATGAGATCAAGGGAGGGGTAAGTGCATAGAGTATACAGATGAGATCAAGGGAGGGGTTAGTGCATAGAGTATACAGATGAGATCAAGGGAGGGGTTAGTGCATAGAGTATACAGATGAGATCAAGGGAGGGGTAAGTGCATAGAGTATACAGATGAGATCAAGGGAGGGGTTAGTGCATAGAGTATACAGATGAGATCAAGGGAGGGGTTAGTGCATAGAGTATACAGATGAGATCAAGGGAGGGGTAAGTGCATAGAGTATACAGATGAGATCAAGGGAGGGGTTAGTGCATAGAGTATACAGATGAGATCAAGGGAGGGATTAAGCTGTTGTTTAGTGTCTTGTGTCAAGGAAATTTGGGATTAGCTAAAAGCTGTTTTAGTTTCATGATGAAAGATAAACCTCTAGTGAGCAGAACAATAGATAATCATAAGCATCTAAACTTGACCCTAATAACTGTTACTGGGATATTCACATAAACTCTATGAAAAGAAAGTTACTGACTAAATGTTCAAGAAGTTTAAAATATCGATTATCGCATAAAAGTTTAGAAATTATCTACAAATCTTTCATCTTACCGACGATAATACCTGATATAATAATACTATGGAATTCCCTAAGTTCTGAAATTCAAAATATTGATACTTTATCCCGATTCAAAAACTCGATATTAAGACAATATAACAAAACTATTATTTTTGATCTGAACTGATTTGATCTGAATGCTGATAGGTTTGACAGACATCATCGACAGCCCCTTGTGCTCATGTGGACATCCAGTCGAAAATGCTGTGCATTATTTCTTTACATGCAATAAATGCACGGAATTAAGACAAAAATCATAGTTCTATTTAAAGGGGTTTAGTATCAACACTGTAGTATGGGTATCAACACTGTACTATGGGTATCAACACTGTACTATGGGTATCAACACTGCACTATGGGTATCAACACTGTACTATGGGTATCAACACTGTACTATGGGTATCAACACTGTACTATGGGTATCAACACTGCACTATGGGTATCAACACTGTACTATGGGTATCAACACTGTACTATGGGTATCAACACTGCACTATGGGTATCAACACTGTACTATGGTATAAACACTGCACTATGGGTATCAACACTGTACTATGGGTATCAACACTGTACTATGGGTATCAACACTGTACTATGGGTATCAACACTGTACTATGGGTATCAACACTGCACTATGGGTATCAACACTGTACTATGGTATAAACACTGCACTATGGGTATCAACACTGTACTATGGGTATCAACACTGTACTATGGGTATCAACACTGTACTATGGTATCAACACTGTACTATGGGTATCAACACTGTTCTATGGGTATCAACACTGTACTTTGGGTATCAACACTATACTATAGGTATCAACACTGTACTATAGGTAACAGGTAGGGTCTTATCAGTGCAACAGACCGTAAACTATGTTGTTATAAGCTGTAGGGGTAGTGGCATGTAGGGGTAATGGGGGGTTACCGATGCAGGCGACAACCAAATATCACAGTTCCGTTCGTTGCGTGAAGCTTTATTTTCACGACCAGTTTTAATCAACAGGTTACAGTTTATACTTCTTAAGTTTGAGAATAGGATAATGTTGGAATTTGAATTGATCAACCACTATTCAGCGCATGATCTCTTCTGGTATGCATGGTCACCCTACAGGCGAAAACAGTCGGTTCTATAATAGATGACAGGATCAGAAACAGAACACGTGTCGTCATATAGAACATCGTATTCAGTCTCAGAATGTGTGGATGCGTCCCGTGTTCAACATCAGGACCTACAAATTTAAAATGAGGGTCTCGAGAATTGACGTCCTGTTTAAATTCTGGAAAATTATTTTTGTCCCTCACGGTACTCTGACCGGTATCCACAAATGTAGTATCCGTCCGTCCATCCATCCACGAACTCATTCACCCCTCTTTTCTAGCCCTCATGGGTTTTACCAACTGGTATTACAACAAGGTCTTTATTCCATGTTATATCTATGAAGGTTGATCATTGCACCAATAGAGAAGCTTGTGTTGTCATCTGTGGTATTACAACAAGGTCTGTATTCCATGTTATATCTATGAAGGTTGATCATTGCACCAATAGAGAAGCTTGTGTTGTCATCTGTGGTATTACAACAAGGTCTGTATTCCATGTTATATCTATGAAGGTTGATCATTGCACCAATAGAGAAGCTTGTGTTGTCATCTGTGGTATTACAACAAGGTCTTTATTCCATGTTATATCTATGAAGGTTGATCATTGCACCAATAGAGAAGCTTGTGTTGTCATCTGTGGTATTACAACAAGGTCTTTATTCCATGTTATATCTATGAAGGTTGATCATTGCACCAATAGAGAAGCTTGTGTTGTCATCTGTGGTATTACAACAAGGTCTTTATTCCATGTTATATCTATGAAGGTTGATCATTGCACCAATAGAGAAGCTTGTGTTGTCATCTGTGGTATTACAACAAGGTCTTTATTCCATGTTATATCTATGAAGGTTGATCATTGCACCAATAGAGAAGCTTGTGTTGTCATCTGTGGTATTACAACAAGGTCTTTATTCCATGTTATATCTATGAAGGTTGATCATTGCACCAATAGAGAAGCTTGTGTTGTCATCTGTGGTATTACAACAAGGTCTTTATTCCATGTTATATCTATGAAGGTTGATCATTGCACCAATAGAGAAGCTTGTGTTGTCATCTGTGGTATTACAACAAGGTCTTTATTCCATGTTATATCTATGAAGGTTGATCATTGCACCAATAGAGAAGCTTGTGTTGTCATCTGTGGTATTACAACAAGGTCTTTATTCCATGTTATATCTATGAAGGTTGATCATTGCACCAATAGAGAAGCTTGTGTTGTCATCTGTGGTATTACAACAAGGTCTTTATTCCATGTTATATCTATGAAGGTTGATCATTGCACCAATAGAGAAGCTTGTGTTGTCATCTGTGGTATTACAACAAGGTCTTTATTCCATGTTATATCTATGAAGGTTGATCATTGCACCAATAGAGAAGCTTGTGTTGTCATCTGTGGTATTACAACAAGGTCTTTATTCCATGTTATATCTATGAAGGTTGATCATTGCACCAATAGAGAAGCTTGTGTTGTCATCTGTGGTATTACAACAAGGTCTTTATTCCATGTTATATCTATGAAGGTTGATCATTGCACCAATAGAGAAGCTTGTGTTGTCATCTGTGGTATTACAACAAGGTCTTTATTCCATGTTATATCTATGAAGGTTGATCATTGCACCAATAGAAGCTTGTGCACCAATAGAGAAGCTTGTGTTGTCATCTGTGGTATTACAACAAGGTCTTTATTCCATGTTATATCTATGAAGGTTGATCATTGCACCAATAGAGAAGCTTGTGTTGTCATCTGTGGTATTACAACAAGGTCTTTATTCCATGTTATATCTATGAAGGTTGATCATTGCACCAATAGAGAAGCTTGTGTTGTCATCTGTGGTATTACAACAAGGTCTTTATTCCATGTTATATCTATGAAGGTTGATCATTGCACCAATAGAGAAGCTTGTGTTGTCATCTGTGGTATTACAACAAGGTCTTTATTCCATGTTATATCTATGAAGGTTGATCATTGCACCAATAGAGAAGCTTGTGTTGTCATCTGTGGTATTACAACAAGGTCTTTATTCCATGTTATATCTATGAAGGTTGATCATTGCACCAATAGAGAAGCTTGTGTTGTCATCTGTGGTATTACAACAAGGTCTTTATTCCATGTTATATCTATGAAGGTTGATCATTGCACCAATAGAGAAGCTTGTGTTGTCATCTGTGGTATTACAACAAGGTCTTTATTCCATGTTATATCTATGAAGGTTGATCATTGCACCAATAGAGAAGCTTGTGTTGTCATCTGTGGTATTACAACAAGGTCTTTATTTCATGTTATATCTATGAAGGTTGATCATTGCACCAATAGAGAAGCTTGTGTTGTCATCTGTGGTATTACAACAAGGTCTTTATTCCATGTTATATCTATGAAGGTTGATCATTGCACCAATAGAGAAGCTTGTGTTGTCATCTGTGGTATTACAACAAGGTCTTTATTCCATGTTATATCTATGAAGGTTGATCATTGCACCAATAGAGAAGCTTGTGTTGTCATCTGTGGTATTACAACAAGGTCTTTATTCCATGTTATATCTATGAAGGTTGATCATTGCACCAATAGAGAAGCTTGTGTTGTCATCATCTGTGGTATTACAACAAGGTCTTTATTCCATGTTATATCTATGAAGGTTGATCATTGCACCAATAGAGAAGCTTGTGTTGTCATCTGTGGTATTACAACAAGGTCTTTATTCCATGTTATATCTATGAAGGTTGATCATTGCACCAATAGATCCCCACTGAGTGATGCAGTTACCGCACCCCCTGAAGCACGGGTAGGATGTTTCAAAACACACCCTGTGTAGGGTTAAAAACTAGATTCACTACCGGACCAAGTTATGCGAGATTGCAACGTTTATAACCCGTTGGGATATTTCTAATTACCTTAACTGGAAATACGATCAGTGGTTTGATAAACGTGTCGTCAGGATCACAATTTTGGTGTAATGGGTCAGTTTCTCATATCACATTTGTAACATGTTCAGTCACCAAATCACAGACAATGTTGTTATAACTTTCAATAATGTAATTAAACAGAATAACTAAGCGATGAATTAAAATTAGATTACCTTAAAGATAGGAATTGGTATCTTTGTTGATTTATCTTCAAGTATTGATCTGTTATCAATATACTTTCGGGCTTGTCAGACAAGCATGGCGAACATCGCTGTGTACGCCCACCAAAAAAATAACGGAATCTGCTTTTGGTAGCTATCTGCGCACTCCATAACCTTCATTCAAGTTACGGACAGGGACTAGTTGCTATAAATAAGTTATCTACAAATCAGACTAGAGAATAGGTGGTTTAATTACAATGATCACATGTAGTTATTCAGCCTCGTTTGGTTCTCTCAAAGCAAGCGAGGACATCCCCTCAGAGGTGTCGGTGATAGGGCAGGGGGATTCTGGTTCCAGATTCCTTCTGGAGAAAATAGCTGGAAAAAAGCCGGCAAAACTGTTATTACTACCAATAACTGAACTTCAGTTTGTTATCAGTAAATAACACTTGTAAACACGTGTTTGTGTCTCATTCAGAAATCCACTGTGCATGGACAGGCAGTCACGCCAACAAGCGAACCCCCCTCGTCTCATGCAGAAGAAACAGGTCTAGATTTACTTCTTTCAATCAAAAACTACTCCAGGTGTGGGTAGATCCGCATATGAGAGACACATTCTGCAACCACGAAGTGACATAACTTAATTACATGAATGCAAATATTCTGCTAGGTAATCCATATTTGGGAGTCGTAATGTATTTTGTCGGAAATATTAATGTAATGAGATTGTCACAGTGTCGTAATACCGTTCAAGTTTGCATAAATGATACCATACAGAATGAATAAACATTCAGCATCTTTAATTGTTTAAATTGTAACAGGGTGGTTGCATCTGCTTTTGGATCTGCGTGTAAACTCAGCTCAATCCTAGGTATTATCGAGTTACCCAACAACAATTCTGAAAAGAAGTATGCTTTTGTTGGTTGGTTGGTTTTGTAGTTTTAGGGCGACGTGGGCCAATAAGAGGCCTATTTGCGCCCAACACATTGACTGGATTTAATAAGCAATCATAGGTAATTTCATCGCCAAAAGGAAACGACAACACTATTAATTTGGATAGATGTATACGTATGTCGAATAACCTCTGCTTTGTGTTACGGATTAAAAACCTTAAGTAATCACTTCCATTTCTGAAACATGAAATACTCATTCATTAAAAAAGCAGTAGGTTCAGATAACAGAGTGTTAAAGTGATTTAAAACCACAGAACTAAATCTGTCAAAGCCATTCGAGAGCCTGTCTAGATTACATCATATTTTCCAGATATTTTCTAAAACTGCCCGTTGCACAGACCCATACATGATATTGGGGCTCAAAACTGTTTCTAATGAAAATACATCATCAACCTCAAGTACAGCATTTCTGAGATTATGTCTTATCTTGTTATGCCCAGGGCATGTTATAAGATAATGTTCGATGTTTTCAGGCGTCTTTCAACATTCGTGACCCACTCGTGTTATTCCGGGACAAGCCGAATAGCGACTCGTGCCCCTCTGGAAGGATTTCATTATTGGCGCATGAACATCAGAACTACTTTAAACATGAACGATAACTCTATCCCTGTTTGATTCCAATGTTTCATAATATCACCGAAGCACATGTACACTGTATTGCTAGGTTGTTGTTTTGGGTTTTTTTGTACTTATTTATTTTAGCTACGTTCTTTGTACTTTCAATATGACGATATATATTTTTCAGAATTTTTTAAACAATGACATAATACCATAAACGATTTAAGTGCTCGGGATTATTTATCAAAGCACCGCTCTCATTTACGCGCGTTCTGATTGGTTTGTCGTATTTTCGCACATAACAAGGGTTATCTCCCAACTGACAGACACCGATTTGACAGACAGCCGATTGACAGACACTGAACTAGAAGGTTAATTAGGGTAACACCTACGGGTATAATGGAACAGCCCACTGTCCAGTGAGTAGAGTAGGGTGAGCCTGAAACAGGTTCGTTACTGAGAAGTTTGATTGAGTGTAAATAGAACTTTGTTGTGATTAAATGATAATCTGTCTTCTCTTTTGAAGATTGATTTTACTATCAATTACTATCGAATATAAAAACAGGTTTGCCACTGAGAGGTTTGATTGTGTTTATTGATTGAAACATATTTTATTCATTCAAGAAAAGCATTGGGCACAAGTTGTTCAACTCAAAAAAGCCCTCTCCCAATAATAGGATATGTACAACAGAAGTTAACTGTAAAAACGTTTGTTTGAGAGATATAGATGTGTACATATTTGAAAACATTAATACCAGTCGGTATTCTAATTTTAACAATACTTTCTATAGAGTGTAACAGTTTATGTCTTTGAATATTATACAATGGACATTCAAGGAAGTAAGGAAAAACATTCTCACATCCATGGCCACATTGACATGATGCATCATTTTTATTCTAAATATATAATAATTACAGGTCATAGATCTTAATGTTGTGTGCAACCCATTTAACTTCCTTATTCCATATGAATAATACATATATGCAAGAGAGTCGCAATTCTTACAGCTAAGGGGGTGTAACCACTAAGGGGATGTTACTCCACATTTAACTGCTGATGGAATAAAAGATGATGTTGAGTACCTCAATCTTGTACATGGTTGGCTAAAATTATTGGAGTTTCTTAACTTATAGCTTGTCCGGTTACCTACTTGAGGTGGGAGTAAATCCTGAAGAAAAGCTGGTGTTTTATTTAGTTGGAACTTTAATTTCTGAAATGATCCAATCATTTTTTGACAATTTTTGTAAAATATGATGTCGCCAACTCCCGTTGGACGAGAAGGTTAAGCCCAAATGTTTATGAAATTTTTATATTGAAGCAATCAAAATTCAAATTTATGTCTTTTCGACCACCTTTCAAAGTAAATAATACAGCTCCAGTTTTATTCTTGTGTTTTTATTTGGACTAATCCATTATAATATGTAGGTAACAGGAAGTAGCTAATCTGTTCATTGAACCGTAAATGTTGTTGTGTAAAGGCGTCTCGAAGTATCGAGTGGGGGACGAGTCTTCTTGGAGGTTACGGAAAGGAACGAGTGGTGACGAATGCGCTCAAAGGTTAGCTGACGCGACCTTATATAAGGTTTTGTTAGACTCAGTGTAGCAGTGTAACGAATAATACTGAGCCTGAGTTTACTTAGACTGATACTGTCGTGTCGTAGAGAAATAAGGAAAAGTGTTAAAATGGATAGCTCACATTGCCTTAAACTCAGAAATGAGAAGTCCTAAAACCCCGCTAGCAGATTTAGCAGCAGCCTCTTCCATAAGGTTATAATCACAAGTGATTATGCTAAATGAATTTAACTCACAAAACTGTTTGATAAAATATGAATACCAACATGAAGAGTAGCTAGTAGTGAAAGACACCAACCACTGAGACTCATATTGGAACTGAAATACAATATATTAGACTACATTAATGCATATCACCAAGATGTTTAAATCAAATCTGAATATTATGATAGACAAAACACCTATTTAAAGTCCGGAAGCCTATTTGTCCACAAGCCCACTCAGGCCAGTGTCTACACATACACATACACACGACCGTCCGTTCTTCCATCCATCCATCACCCCTTCTTCAGTTTAACAAGAATACTTGTATACCACATCTGAAATTTAATAACAAGTTATTCAAATCATTTAAAATATTGTTCTAATATTCAGGTATGTAATGTAACAGTACAACTAAACAATGTATTCAAATTAGATTACCTTAAAACAACGGAAAGTTTCTTCAAGTGTATGCAAGCAGGTAATTTTGAAGGTTGAAATAACTAATCCCTCTGACGGAATGCAAACCAGAGTACGAGTGATTTCAAAAGACCTGCAGCTGTATAGCAGGTGAAGTCACGTGGTCGACGCTTGTTATGGCGCCTCATCAGCATAGTAAGGGATTTACGTCACTTATTTATAGTAAGGTGGGCAAGAGCAAATTTCTACTGCTGGACTGGGATTGCCTAACTTGGGAGCTTGACACACTTATGTTTTCGAAGAGTTGATGAGGACCGCTCCATAGCAACGGTTGTCAAGGTAACGGGTATTTTAACCTATAACCAAATTACTCAAAATTGGTGATTTTTAGGGGCATTTATCTCAGAACAGCAAACGTTTGATGTTGTTATTGCTATTACTTTGCTTAATACAATTATGAAATTGTGATAGCAAGACATAAAAAGTTTGTAAAGTTTTGAATTTTTTATTTTATTAACCGCTGAAATTTAAAAGCTAACCGATAATATATATATTTTCAAAATTTTGACTGAAAACAATTTGGTACAGTTACCAAAAGAAATCAGCTATTGATTGAATATTCCACAAGAAAGTATTATTTAAGTATTTAAGAGGAGTGTTAGGAACATTATTTGCAAAAAATAGCAGAGGGATTTGCAATGTCAACTTAACTAAGAAGTGGACGTTTTGAAGAAAAATGCTAAGTATAGACCCTCTGTGCATGCTGTATACAGTTAATGCTTTTGGGGGCCTAAATTACTAACAAATTACTTAAAAGCTAACCGATTTTCAAGTACTAAATCCTGTTATAGTTCTTTTTCTTAAGTACTTAAGTAAATTATGCTGAGTCATCAAAATTATTATTTTCAGGGAATGTGAGATCATAAAATGGAAAATACAGTGAGAAAGTGAAGATGTCACATACTTACTTCTTCAGTGTTGGCTTTCTATACTTTTATAAAAGCATAAATGGAATATTCCTCATCACAAACATAACACAGACACCTTATTTGAAGTATGAACCATACTTTTAAGAATAAGAAGAAGAAGAGGAGGAGGGGAAGAAGAAATGTTTATTACATAGTGTCACGCATGTAAATAAATACAAATAATGCCCGGCCATAGGGCCATGAGACACTTTTATAATACATGTACACTTAAAAATAAGGTATTACATGTACTCAATAATACATTCATACTGGCATTCTTACATTTGTCATCCGTTCAAAGCTTTCATTCATTCTCGATAGAGTGAGTGAGTGAGTGAGTGAGTTAGTGATAAAGTGAGTTAGTTGGTTAGTGTATTAGTGGGTTAGTGTATTAGTGGGTTAGTTGGTTAGTGTATTAGTGGGTTAGTTGGTTAGTGTATTAGTGGGTTAGTTGGTTGGTTGGTAAGTTGGTTAGTTAGTTTAGTTACTAAGTTAAATAAATAGTTAAATAAATAAGTATATGAATAAAAAAAATCCTGTCAGTTTGTCATACATCCCATATATTATCGATTCATAATCTGTCATACTACCTTCCATACACCAATCCTACTCAGACAAACAACATATACATATACATTAACTGAAAACCATTCACACAAATCATTCACTCATTCAAACTCATATGTATCATTGTCAAACAGAATCTCTATCACCCATTCTTTCATACACTTACCCTACTCACACAAACAGCATATGGCCATATATACTAAGCA